CTAATATACAATAAAATAATTACCGGGACTAGTCTTCCATCGTTTATCTTTCCATGCACTTTCATCATATTATGTTAACATGTACAATTATAAATTGATAATTGTCTGTATGACCTTTACTCACGTGTACTGTATGACAAAATTACTAATTATTACAATATCAATAATTATAAGTATAATTACATACAACGAGAGGCCTCAAAATTTGCGTTGCCGAGGTGTAAAATATTTGTATATTTATTATAAATCTCTGCTAAACTAATAAATCAACTAACAGACAGGGAGTTTAATTGAGAGGTTTGAGATAAGCGTCTTCGAAAAGTTCAAGTTCATGTGTCAAATAATTCGCTTTATTTCTCAATACTTTCGATCGTCCAGCTGCATTTTCCAAGTTCCGGACCTGCACCTCTAACGCTTTAAGTTCAGCGTCCATATCGGTCGTGGCTTCGTCCACCAAGTGACACAATCTGGCGAACGTGCCGCTCAATTCCTGCTGCACTTGATAACTACAATTCGAAGACGTCAAATCGACAATCAGTTTCAATTTCTTTGTAGCATGCGCCACGTATTGCCTCTTGAACGCCTTCTCTTTGGCCCTGTTTGTCCAAGTTAGTCTTTCATACAAGTAAAGACATCCATAAATAGCGCCCGTTACAGCTATTACGCGCCATCCAACAGTTTTAAAAAGGAAACCAGCGACCAACAGGCCCCCCATGGTCCCCTGCGAAGTCGCGCTTGCTAACGCAAGTTTCGCTATTAGAGACCAGTCATCGTTCACTATATTATTCTGATGGTTTGGGTACAAATCTGTAGGACTGCTTGGATTAGGAATTATAGAAGTCATTTCTATTTTAAATGTCAAGGTTAACAACGGAAAATAATTAACCAAGTATTCTAAAATTATATAAGTAATTTAGTACTATTTCTATAAACATTTAAATCATTTCTAAACGAAAAGAGAAAATTAAATATCAGCAACTATTTATTTTATAGTCAGCACAAATATGAATAACCATCATATCTATGGTAATAATAGTCGCTCAATTATTTCCAGGGAATTCCCTAAGCAGTGTTATACGCAATTATACGTAAAGATATGCTTACGATTAGTAGCGCAATATTATTGTTAATAGTAGCAAGTAATGTGTAAAAGTGTAACCAAGTATAACATTGTACAGCGAGTAAATATGTATTTAACAATTTTGAGTCTTTGTTTCATATTGTTAGAAAAGGTAAAGTTTTTATTTATAAAGATTCTTGGCTTTCCAACCCAAACTATAAAAAAGGATGCTACAGACAAACGTTCAACAGAAACCTTGCTAAATTTGATTCCAAAAAGTGTTAATTATCACTTTACACGTAGATGCAATTATGAATGTGGATTTTGTTTTCACACAGCCAAAACGTCTTTTATGCTAGATTTGGAAGAGGCCAAACAAGGACTTTCTTTATTAAAAAAAGCAGGTAAACATCTTATTAGCAATTAATAAACAGTCGCATGTGCAAAATTTTAATTTAAATTAAAACCATTTTAGGTTTGGAAAAAATTAATTTTAGTGGTGGTGAACCATTCTTGCCTGCTAGGGGTCAGCATTTGGGAGAGATGGTAAAATTCTGTAAAATGGATCTACGATTACCCTCAGTTACTGTAGTTACTAATGGATCAATGGTTACAGAAAGATGGTTTAGAAAATATGGCGAATTTTTAGACATTATGGCTGTCATGTGATTCTTTTGTTGAAGAAATTAATAATGTAATAGTTTATGTATAAACATATGCACATTAATCCTTGAAACTTGTTCCTTAATACTTTTAGGTAATTGGACGAAAACAGAATGGTAAAAACCACTTGGAACAGTTATACAAAGTGGGAGATTTATGCAAAAAGTATAAAGTCCTGTTTAAAATTAATACTGTTGTTAATACATACAATTATGAAGAAGATATGAACTATTTTATTACTCAACTTTCACCAGTAAGGTAATCATTAAATTGCTTGTCTTTTAAGAAGTATACCCTGAAATATTTAAACTACTTACAATTGCAATTAAACTGATTTTAAAATGTACTTTTGGAAAGTATTTCAATGTCTTCTGTTGGAAGGAGAAAACGCAGGTTCAGAAGCTTTAAGAAATGCAGAAATGTTTTACATTGAGAATCACAAATTTGAAAAATTCATTAACAGACACAAAGACATTCCTTGTTTGGTACCCGAATCAAATGAAAAAATGCAGAACAGTTACCTCATACTTGATGAATATGTAAGTCACTCAACTAAATATTAGCAGTACAATATATTATAGAATATGTAATATCAAAAAGAGACTCGTTACATACCACAACCATTTTTTAAAAGACAGACATGTGTTTTGCCCACTTATATTGTGAACATTATCAACGCGACACTGACCGTTTTTTACATATGTTTTAAAATTGCAGATGCGATTTTTAGATTGTAGAGATGGATGGAAAACACCATCAAAATCAATCTTAGATGTAGGGGTAATTGACGCCCTTAAATTTTCCGGATTTGATGAAATAATGTTTCTTAAAAGAGGAGGGAAATACAAATGGTCCAAAAAAGACGCTGACCTAACGTGGTGATTGTAATATTACTTGAATAAAAGAAATATTAATAGTAAAATATTTTTTACGATTAACTTGTAATTACTTAGAATATAATAATTTCTTTTAATATTTTATATTGTAATTTTGTTTTGTGTGAGATGAATATCGGAAAAAACAAAAAAAAAGTTTCAAATAAAATTTATTCTTGCAAACGTTATACAACAATTACGGTAAAACGTTTCCCTTTTTTTATTAAACAACAAAACTAATATACAATAAAATAATTACCGGGACTAGTCTTCCATCGTTTATCTTTCCATGCACTTTCATCATATTATGTTAACATGTACAATTATAAATTGATAATTGTCTGTATGACCTTTACTCACGTGTACTGTATGACAAAATTACTAATTATTACAATATCAATAATTATAAGTATAATTACATACAACGAGAGGCCTCAAAATTTGCGTTGCCGAGGTGTAAAATATTTGTATATTTATTATAAATCTCTGCTAAACTAATAAATCAACTAACAGACAGGGAGTTTAATTGAGAGGTTTGAGATAAGCGTCTTCGAAAAGTTCAAGTTCATGTGTCAAATAATTCGCTTTATTTCTCAATACTTTCGATCGTCCAGCTGCATTTTCCAAGTTCCGGACCTGCACCTCTAACGCTTTAAGTTCAGCGTCCATATCGGTCGTGGCTTCGTCCACCAAGTGACACAATCTGGCGAACGTGCCGCTCAATTCCTGCTGCACTTGATAACTACAATTCGAAGACGTCAAATCGACAATCAGTTTCAATTTCTTTGTAGCATGCGCCACGTATTGCCTCTTGAACGCCTTCTCTTTGGCCCTGTTTGTCCAAGTTAGTCTTTCATACAAGTAAAGACATCCATAAATAGCGCCCGTTACAGCTATTACGCGCCATCCAACAGTTTTAAAAAGGAAACCAGCGACCAACAGGCCCCCCATGGTCCCCTGCGAAGTCGCGCTTGCTAACGCAAGTTTCGCTATTAGAGACCAGTCATCGTTCACTATATTATTCTGATGGTTTGGGTACAAATCTGTAGGACTGCTTGGATTAGGAATTATAGAGCTGGTAGGGCTGTCGCGTTTGTTTTTGAGGGCTAAATAACCAGCACCAGACCCAGCGAATCTCTGTATCAGGGTCGTTATGCCCCACGAAAACCTGAATTCTAAGTCCTCTTTGAAGTCGGCGCATAAATTATCACAGTTGAGACGATAGAGGATCTCAAAAGGCTGTCTACGTGGCAGGATAATACTGGTGCCCTTTTTTTCATCTGGTATCAATTTTTCTAAGCGCTCTAACATCTCCTGCTGACTCGCTTCGACGTTCAAGGCAAGGGCAGTGGACAGCCGTGCCCTCAGATTCGACCCCAAACCTGATTCTACGTGCGCGTGAAGTTCTTTCTTATAAACATTCAGAACTAATGGTTCGGGATGAAAAGGCAAATTAAATTCGTCGACCAAATTACTCAGGCGTCTTATTTCTTCGTTAAGAGCTTTGGCGACGCGTTGACCGACGTCGTCCACCATGTCGTGGATTTTCTGTTTCATGTCCTGCGTGATGAGCATTAACTGTTGCTCGGTAAAATTTATTTTATCATTTAAATCTTTACGTTGCTTTAATTTCTCTTCTTTCAACAGCTGAGCATCATGATACAGTTTGTCTAAGATGTTACGCAACTCGCTGTAAGAAAACAGCAATGAGGCGACGACTTATCATTTCAAAAGGCAAAAAGGAAGCCAAAAGCGTCTCATGCACCACTGTGCGCGATATTCTCCTTCTTCAAAGTTTTAAGCGCGTGAAATAAAGATAAAAATTTATAGCCTAGACTTAAAACTATAACTTACTTGGAAATGTACTTTCCTCGTTGCGAATGCTGTTCAAATTTGGTTTTAACTGCCGACTTTGAGATGCATTCTTCGAATTTTCGTTCGAAATCTTCGAATTCGAAATAACGATTCTGAAAGCCTTCGGCTAAGGAATTAGAACTACCGAAACCCTTCTCAGCCAAACGGGCTATCAAGGCTTCTTTGGCTGATATGAAAAATATTCGCTCGTCCGCTTCTTTCGGTGTGCACACTTTCAACTCTTTCACAAGGAAGTCGATACCTCTCTCTAGGTGTTGTCTACGAACCTGATATCAAACATTTAATTTATCTGACCATTAAAAATGTTTTTTTCTTGTATTAATTTTTTTAATGTTAGCAAACGTTTGCGGCATGCAAAATGACAGTAGAAATACATATTGGCTCAAAAAGGGAAAACGGTCTATAACATCATAAAATAAAATATTTACTAACTTGTAGCAATTATAAAGATAAATAAATAAGCGCTGGACCAGCAAAATCACTAAAAACAAGCCAATACTAACCTCTGCCTGTTCATCGCAATGCTTAAGACAGAACAGTGTTTTGTATAATCAAACTATTATTTGTTGAAATCACTTTAAAAGATACAACTAATAAACTATTTGAAAAAATATATGTTTTTAATAAATCGATAAGCCATCTCTTAATAAATTAACTTATTTTAATGACTTACTTGATCCAGAAATTCAGGCTCGGTAGCAGAGGCGTCCCATCGATTATTCAAAATAAAAATGTTTGGTTTTGAAAGTTTTGTAGATACTTTGTGAAAGAAGTTCTTTTCCTAAAATAGTTCATGAAATAGTAGTCTTTTTTCTATTATTACGTTATTAATAATAATTATTACGAGAAGGAAAAGTGGACTTGCATATGGAGCTTATCACTCCTGCGAGATTTGTCTATTTTTATTATAAAAATGGTGTTTACACCTACATAAAAATAGATAAATAAATTGCTGAACTTACCGTTACCATAAGAGTGGACTCTGCATTCGCCACCAGCACGAAGACATCCGCATCTAGACAATGTTTATCGATCCATTCGTCCAAATTTGGTGAAACATCCACTCCTGGTGAGTCGACAAAAACCACGTCGTCTCTGAGGAGCACGCAACGATTTCTGGGCCAAAATACTCTTACAAGCTGTGACTCGTTTAACTTTTCCTTGCAAAGAGCGTGGGCAAGTTGGCCCACAGATTCAACGGCACAGTGCTCGTCGGAACCCTCAAGAACGAGGTAGGGCTCATCTGCAGGCGATCCTTCCACCTGCAAGAAAAAACAATAAGTTTTCCAAGTTTTATTATGACTAATCTATGCAACACAAATATACAGGGTGTATGTTGGGTTGCATACACCTCATATTTTCTGCATGCAGTGTATAAAAACAATTTTTGCGTCCAATAACCTATCTAGATCGATTTTCGCCCCTAAATTACTCATTCCTTAATATTTATAAGACTTTAAAAATTTTGAAAAATACCTGAAGGAAGCAGTTAGTCGTGTGTCCTATGCCACTAGGTAGAACTTTGTCCCGTAACATGGCATTGATAACAGAACTCTTCCCATTAGAAGTACGACCAAAGAAAGCTACTTTCATGTGATCTCTAGCAAGAACATCCCTAATACCATGTACTTTATTCACAAAAGTCTCCATCTGCTTCACTTCTTCTGCATTTAATATTGATAATTCTTTCTCTACAACTTCAATAGAAATATTTTTGCGAAATATACACAATGTCCATTGAAAAACAAATATTCTCCTACCATGCATATAATCAATGGCATCTTTAACATAGTCCTCAATCTCTCCAAATATGTCATTTATTTTCCTTTTGGCTTTAACAAATATCTGCAAAGGAGAATTGTCTTGTGGTGTATTCCGTATGGCCCTAAAGTCAGATGCAATGGCAGAGATCGAGCCCTTGTTGTGGGGTCCATCTCCTGCCATCATGGATACAGTGCGATTCAAATATGCAGCCATCTCTACATGCTAACAGTTATCAAGCAGTCATCAAGTGATTGACTAGCATGCAGGTATAAACAGCAACTGAAAAAGAAAAATGTTTAAATTAAGTTAGATAACATCAATATTTTACTCGGTATAAATTAAAAAAAGCGTGCTTGCATCTTAAAGTCAGCTGTTTTTAAATAAATAAAAAATGTTCCTAAAATAATTTTACAATGTGATGATATCTATGATAGAAAACTTACTTAGTCAATTTACCAAATATATCATAAATTATTAAACAACGCATTTACAAAATAACTGTGTAACTGTAATTTTGCGTTTAAATTACCTATCTAATTTTAGCAGTTACATTACTGACAGAATAAGTTTTCTAAAAAACGGTGACACTTTTTTATTACTACTTTAAATATGTAGGTAATTAAAAAGCAATACAAAATATGCATTAAACCTTATTTTTATTTAGAATCATCCTAACTTCCGAAATTGTGAGGAGACTACGTAACCTCAAATATCTAAAATTTTATTTATTTAACCATTGCGTTACTTCTTATCAATACAACTTACCTTTTTAAACAGCGCTGAATTGTTTATTGGTATTTATTTATAGTCAATGATATAAAGGATTATAAATAATAATATAACTTCAAATGTGGGCTTTGGCACCTGTCTTAACGAATATGATAATACTTGATAACACATGAAATCATAGCAACGAAGTTGACGAGCATTTCTTAGATGTATTTTTGGTTCAATTACAATTACCTTAACTTCATGATTAATAACTCTAATTACATTTGCATTAAATTATTGCGTAACGATTATATGGTTATTTTAGTCACACTCTTCTACTTTTTTTAACCTAATCAGTGACCTTGTCATTGCGTTGCCAATATTATTCAAATTAATTCCCCCGTTAGTAATTTGGACATAACCAAAGGCAGGTGTGGTCAACCAAATATAAATATTTCTGTTCTTATTATTTTCAGTATTTTAACTTCCAATTAGCAAATTTTATTTTTAAATAATATTAAAATCATATAAAAAGGTAAATTGTTCAGTAGTTTCGCTTATTTAAAAGAAAAATATTAAAGAGTTGGAAACGCAAAGTTTATTCAACCCTGCTGTTAGTTTTACTCGCATTTGCAAGTGTGGGCAACATAAATTTGAATAACAACAAAAAGAAGTTTTTATCTTGCAGCTGTAAGGAAAAACTTAAAAATTAATAAAAAATGTAATTTTGAAGCAGTTATGTAAATTTAGATGCCAAAAGCTTATTTTATATAAAGTACGTACATTAAATTATACTTGTGAAAGTGGTGAAGAAACAAGAGCTTTAATCTGATTTTAACCTCACTTTGTACAAGTTTTTAATATGTACTTAAAAAGCAATTTAAATCAAACTGTTGTACCCTTAAGTATATTAAATCAAGAATGGACTTACAGAGGAGAAGGGAACGCAAATTTAGTGTTGTCTCTGCCAAACTTAAGGAAAATAGTTAAAATTCGTAAAACAGAGAAGCCAGTAACATTAGTGCAGTTTCTAACAGAATGGCTATTCAGATACGTACTTTGGACTGATAAGATTGATGCATATAGTGAAAGAGATCTCATGTTCTATTCAGACTTAATGGTTCATTTAATAGGGGGTAGTTTTGTTTCTCCAGCTGTCCCAGTTATAATTACTAAGAAAGAAATTTATGACTTGAGTATTATCTTAAAATCAGAAAGACCAGGTAATTTACCCTGTATTTATAAAAATAAAATAACAGGATTGTAAAAGTATACTATGAATTTTAGAATGCCGTAAAAACAAAAATATTCAATTTGGAAGAGCATCTTTGCTTCCTGATTATGCCTTTTTACCAAAAGAATGGGATTCTGCTTTAACTGGGCCTACACTAGCAATTGAAATAAAACCAAAACAAGGTTGGGTTCCCTTCTATGATAGACAATGTGAGAAATGCCCCTTTTGCTTAAACCAATATGTTAAAGTAGGTACAAACAATTTACTGTTTACTGTGTTAGTAAAGAAAGAAGTTTTAGCTTAAAAATGGCAGTATTAAAAATATAAGTGGCTATTGCCCCTTAGATTTATTTTCAGGGTAAGTATTATTCATTTTCCTGTGATAATGTATATATGTATTTTTTCCTTTTAAAGGAGCAAAACAAGAATGATAAATGCTTTGCACTGCCTTCTGAACAACCCTCAAAATAATTTTCGTGCTTTTAAGGATGGTATTTGTGTTTATGATGAATGTTCACCCTTTGAAAATATGTATAAAGTAGTTAAAGAAATATTCCAACAGAACCAAACTACTAAAAAGTAAAATTATGCAAAAAATTTATAGCGTGACAGTCTTATATTGCTATTGTTTTTCTAGTAGTTTGGATGTATTTATTAATATGTTATGTGAGTTATTACTTAAACCACATTGTTACAACCAGAAAGACTTTGGAAACTGTGATATTACCATAAATAATGTTGAACATTCCCTACTTATTAAGGAAGATAGTAAAATTAGTACAAAATGCGATTTTACCCATCATGATCTGCCAAGTTTTTGCGTTTTAGAACGAATTTTAGCATTACAAATGATCGACTTGGCCGGTTTAAAAAATAATTTCTTGTTGTATAAGTACTTAAACAGTAAAAGGACTTTGGATAACTGGGAATATATTGATAAAATTTGTAAACTGATTAGCACTAACAAACCGAAATGCCCGAAACGTATTTTAATGGACTATGAAAGGAAATTTGTGGAAATGATTGGAAAAGGAGATGGAGAGTGTTACTTTGATGAAATGGACGAAATTTATTTGGTTCCTTACATTGTGGCTAGTATTGCTAACGATTGTTCTTTGATGGTTACTATGAGAAAAGTCAAAAAGGAAAGACAAGGGTATGTGCTATTTTATGTTGATTTGTTATTCATAAAAATAACTACAATCATTACTTCTTTTAAGCATTGAAAATATTCCCGAAGACTGTATATTTGATTTTGGTGATAATGGTCAGTTTGCTGTTAATTTTGGAATATTCGATTTGTACCCTAAACCCTTATCTGTGATCCAAAAACACAAGACTAGAAATGAAAGGCGACAAAGTGCTTATCGACAGATTACAAGTTAATTATGGACGTATTATTTTACTATTATTCTCGTAAATGCCTGCGTTAAATACTCATAAATAATAAGTTTTATTTTTGTTACGTTAATGATTTACGTTCATATTTACAAATTGCAAAAAAAGAACGGGAGGAAAGATTTAACAATAACTGCCTTTTAAATAAAAAAAACTAGAAAATACTTTGTAAGTAAATACTTAGAAACTGTAATAAAAGTTAATTATCTTTATAAATAACAAATTGCATATTAGAACAATTCTTATGTATTATGTGTGCGTGTAGGTAGACAGATAATTAATGAACATAATATAATAAACTGTTTTTATAAATAATACGAACTCATTTATTTTTTAAAATTGTAGTACTGAAATTCAGCAACACCCCATCCATTTTTTCCATTTATTTTAAAGTTAGAAAACATTTCTACAATTTTCGCTTCATGTTCTTCTCCTATATAAAAACTTGGAGACTCCTTTACTTTTACTTGTATAACATAGTTTTTACCACCTGATAGATAATATTAAACAAAAAAGGATAAAGACCGTTTTTCAAAACTAACGATACTAATTGATTATTTATCAAGTAGAGATGATACGATATTATGTACGGATTTTCAAATAAAGAATATTAACATTTAACAAATCAAACTAATCAGAAATTAGAACTTACCAGCTGTAACGGTGAAACCATAATCTACAGGGATTTTTCCAGTTTCACCATGTTGATGTAGACGAAAATCTGAACTATTAACAGGGTATATTTTGTTATCCGATTTTGAATAAAAGTATCCTAGGTCCAGTCTAAAATATATAAGAATTCGAGCATAATAAGGTCTAAATCATAAATGCTAATTATTAATATTACATATACAAAAATTACGTTATGCAACCCAAATTTTCATATAAAAACCTCTAAAAATCTAAAACGCATTTCGACAACCAAAAGGTTCCATCTTCAGCTAGAAACAGTCTCTAAACAAACAAAACAATAACTAGCAACAACGTAACAGTAAAAATTTAATCAAATATCACAATTATTATTATGATGTAACTAGTTCTTCCCCCCTATTAGTCACTGTGACCTCGAAACTGTTAGCACCATTGCTTAGAGTGGTCGAAATTCACTTTTGTGAACAATTTGTTTAATCACTTTCTTTGTGTTAAAAATTGTTTGAAAAATTAAATTTAAAAAAATTGTTTGTAAATAGGTATGCAACACATCGTACACTTCAGCATAAGGAATTACTGATACTAACTACGTAATGCTACTTTGCCCTGTGCTGACAGCACTCATAATTTCCTTTAATATAATATTAAACTTACGTAGAAAAGGAAATTGGAGCGCAAATAGAAACTGCCATCAATCTATCGCCGTTTTCCACACTGATAAAGTGCATGGCGTATCTGTGAAAATAGCGCCAATTTCTGTGATTCCCAAAAGTGTGGTCACGAACAGTATCAAATTTCGAAAAATAATTTTTACCGTCAATTTTTACTGTTGATTCCATTACACCAAACTGTTCATAATGAGTTTGATGAACCCTACAAAGCATCTCACTCATTCATTGAACAAAAACTTTTTCTTACAATATGTTATTACTCTTTTAAAATTTTAAAATAGTCCTTGTTCCACTTTTCTAACGCTATCGCTTTCGCCATTGACAATATATCAACGTCTGTATCGAAATCAAAAAAAGGCAAGTCTGAACGCCAAGTGGCATCTATTTCAACAGAAAACGTTTCGGAGGGATTGTTGTGTTTCTTCATTAATCCTTTATAAGTTAATTTCCATGCTTTCATTGGTTCTACCGATTCTATTTTTATATTTTCCACCGCAAATTCCTGGATTTCCTTATCCTGGTATAAACACGTATCTGGTTGCTTCGGCAGTTCTAATAAACCGAACTCTGAGTTTTCGATTTTTAAATAAATAAAACCATTTATGAGACCCCCTTGTCGCCTTGCAGTACCCATAATTAATACGTCCCCCTGTTTATTATTACCATTGAAATATACCGCATCTATAGCCTTAAAAAAAACTATTGTTTGTGAACAATTCTAAAATTACTATAATGGCAAATATTATGTTACCTGTTCGTGAAATGATAGTTTTTGTGGTTTTTCATACTGGAAATAATCCAATCTACCTAAACACTTGCCTTTTATAACACGCACTATCTGAAAGAGAGCTGTATTTTACTGAAAGAAACATTCCCAAATAACAAAAATACTTCTTTACTTTTCTAAAATGTAAGACAACAAAGAAAATTGCCACTTTTAAACAATAACCACGAGCAGGTAATCGGTAAACACCTAAAATGGGACGCTTTTCTACAGTATTTAAATACTTTAAGACGACGATAACTAAAACTGAAGAAATTAAAATTAATGCGCTTATTAAATCTATAAATTTTAAAAGAAATAAAGATGCTAATACAATCATGGTTACGCGTTTATATCGTCGCAAAACCGAAATATTTTCATCCAATTCTATTCTTACAAGTATGTACTTCTTCAAGTAACTTTGTAATTTTTATCTTATCTCAGTTTTATCGTAAGTTTTATATAATCATTAATTTATATTGTAGACTAATAATACAACAAAATAAACTATTAACTGTTTACTATGGACGCCCCAAACAAAATTTAATTTATTATGAGGTAAATGGGGTGAAATTAAAAATAAAACACACTTGTTTGATTGTTTATAATAAAACTACTTTAGTATTTATGTGACAACATGTCATATACAAGCGGTGATAGCGCAGACAATTTTTCGTCATAGAACACTTTTATTTCGTAAAGTAGATAAATCCCCAATATTTGCACCCGATTATTTATTGTTAAATAGAAATTCTAAACGATCATCAGTGGAAAATAGTAATGTTCATGCAAGTTTTAATATTTATATAAACCATATGAATTATACGATTTATTTCGTTTACAACTATTTGCCGAAACAAAACAAGAATAGTAATTAACTCATGAGGTATAAAAACCAATAAATAATAACTTGAACAAAAAAATATTTCATTTTTAAACCAAACAAAACACCTGCATTCAATTGTAAAAAACGGAAAAGTAATAAAAATGAAAAATTTTCTGGATTCAAAAGGGTTTTTACACAACTTTTTACTTCTCTGAATTGATTTAGTTAGGTATATGCATGCTATATGTAATATAAGCATTATGTATTTACAAAGTGCTTGAACCTTTGGCTCCGAAATGTAATGTGTAACAGTTCGTAAAATATGTAAAATATCAATAGCAACAAAACATTGGAAATGCAAAAAAATAAATATGTAGTAATTAATTAACTTGTCTCCATTTTTATTAGAGACTGCTTTAGCATAAGGATTAAACACTGATCCTCAAATAGAGATTATTGTGCCCGATAGTAATTTCGATTTTGTTTTGAATTGGAAGTATGTATTTTTCGAAAAGGCACATCTTAAACAACAACTTCAAACACGATTATAAAATATGTACATTTCGAATTTTATAACGTGTGATAATTATATTTTTAATTCATACGAGGGTAGTTCAAAAAGCGATATTATTTGATCCAAACGAATCTATACATTTTAACGTAATCACCCACCCAACGTTACATAAAACTGAAAAAATATTCTGCTTATAAATAATTAAATAATTTTCCATCAGCGGACCATATTTCTCTTTGATTTATATAACAAATAATAAGAAAAAACAATTACGAAAATGTAATTATTACTAACAGATTACCGCAAAATTGTGATAATTCATCTTTTAAGAACGCTTTAGCTATAAATAAAAAAAATAGGGAAGCTAAAACCTTCAAATATTAATTTTCCAACTCTCTAAAAATGCACCTTGTATTGAAAAATTTGTTTTTCGAGCCTTACCTATTTTATATTACTTTTTCTAATAAAAATGTAAGCTAATGAGGACTAAATGTAAGAAATACATTAATCTTAAACTCCCTTACTATTTTTTAGACGAGTGGAGTTGAAAGAAAACATGTTACATGAGAATATCATAAAACTGTTATCCATCTGCAAATTGAGTACACATTGCAAAATTTACTACACATCCACATTCGTTCTTTAATTTAAAATAACTAAATATTAATTTGCAATATTATTAAAAATTACAAAATTGCGCAAGTTTTAAAATAAATCAGTATTAAAAAATGCATGTGTATACTAATGTTTTATAAAACGCTGCGGTTTCCTAAATAAATAACGCAAAAGTATTTTTAAAACAACAACTATACAAATTGATAATCTAAAACGCTGCCTCATGTCACAACTTATTGAACCACTCTCGTACATTTAACGCCCCGAAACGACATCTCGTGCAAAGCTAAAGCAATCTTTATTACAAAAAGTCGCGATAATACTGATCCATTTATTATTAGTTTGACAATATTTATATGTATAATAATCATTACTTTAAATCACAACCTACAAAAATAAAAAAAAAATACAATAATAATAATACATCTTTGAAAGAAAATGTTAATACAATATGTATAAAAAGAATCCCATCATAGAATACGTGCCACAGAAGAACAGTAATATCGATAAACGCACAAAATCACATGTTATCATCCACTATTTAAAAACAACCAACGAAACAATAATTTACAGACAGATAAAAAAAATAATACAACTTCACAAAAAGAACAACGTCAATTATTATTACTATTATTAAAAGTGTCCACTGCTCGACGAACTCGCGGTGCTCTCGTCTTCCGAGTTGCTTTCTATTCGTATCGAATCTACCCCGTAACCCACCGAGATCGCTTGCATCTCTGAATACTCGCCATTCAGAGAGCTGCAAGTGGAATTATTGTTCCATATGAACACATCATCCGAATGTGAACTGTCCAAGTCCCCGTTTCGTACACTAACCGATCTAGAACGGCACCTATCTTCCCTGTCAAGACTGCAGGGGCCGACACTCAATGCGTTTGCCGAAGCACTTAAACTCAAAGGATTTTTGATCCTGGGCCTCTTGTTAGCCGGGGATTTTGTCGGAGTGCTTTTCGGTGGTGTCGGGTTCCGGAAGCTCCTTCTCACTATTCTGTTGGCTATCATTTCCGGACTCTCCTCCATTTCGAGTACGTAACTTACAGAATCTGATTTTTCAACAACTCCCTTCACTTTTGGCGAGTTTGGCGGTGATACATCTATAGATAGATCGACATCGAAGGAGCTTTTGGATTTTTGCGACGACGGCGTACTACTACTAGGGATAATGTTCGATTTATTAGAAGTCGAAGAATGTTCTCTGAAGGACAAAGTTCGTTCCAACTGCGGCCTCGAAGGAGAATGAGGATGGTTGTTCCCACTGTGATGGCGTTCGTTAAAACTAGCACTAAGAAACGATCTGTTCAGCGCCGTTTCTTCTGCTTGTTCCAATACTCTCGATACGACCTCTTTATTCTGTTGCAGTTTCCATTGGAGTTCTTCGTTGTATTGTGTCAGACGTTTGTTGTGATTGAACTCTTCCCTAAACGATTCCTGGAGTTTTTTGTTATCGTTGATGAGTTGTTGCTCTTGGACGAATTTCACTTTGAGCTGATGCTGCAAGTCCTCGCATCTCGCCGTCAGTGCGGACACTTTTTCTTCGACGGAAGGTAACAATTCGGCTTTCTGATTCGCCTCTACCAAAGCCTTCCTCAGGTCTGCTATTTCGGATTGTTTCAGTTCTAGAACTGCACGAAGAGATTCCACCTCGGCAACGACAGCCTGAAACTTGTTACTGCTGTCTTTGCCATCGATCGATATGCAAAATGCTTTTGTATTTTCGTCTTTTAATTTTACTATTTCCTCGTGAGCTAATCTAAGCTCTTCTTTGAGCGACTGCTCTTTACATTCGTAGTCCTTCTTAAGTTTTTCGCTTTCTGTTTTATATTTCTGTAGTTTCTCTATGATGACATTCTTCTCGTCTATTTCCTCTCGTGTAGAATCGTTTTCTTCTCTTAAGATCTCCACAGTTTGCTCGTGAGCTTTCTGAAGTTTATTGAATTCTGATCTAAGCTTTTGCAGCTGCTCTTCATGAGATTTAATAAGTTGTTGCATTAGTTTATTGTGTTCTGTATCGAGGATTCCTAACTTTTTTTGGTGTTGCTGATGTACTGAAATAAATTAAACACAAGCAATGACATTACTGTAAATATTACATTGAAAAAAAAAAAATAATAAATATGTAACGAATATTAATTTTACATAAGTTAAAGGTATAAAAAATTGGAACAAACATTAAAAGATATAAGGTGTAGACACATTATCGCAAATATGGAAAGTATCATTGCAAGAAACTAAAAAGACTCAAAAATTAATATTCTTTACGTCCTACTATTCATTATTTAATATTAAAAATATAAGTATTACTTAAAACATTTATTGAGAAGTTTAAATTCAATTCAAGATATTTTTAAAAAATTCAAAATTTTCTGGCTTTCTCGGTCTGTGATCACCCTAACAATAAAAATTAATTCATTTGAATGCTTACTTTGTGAAATGTTGTTTCGATGTTGTTCCATCAGTTCAGCTATTTCAGATCTATATTTGACCTTCTCCTCATCAATTTTGAGAGCATGGTTCCTGTTTGTTTCTAAGAGTTTTTCTTCCAAAATACGACACGCCAATTTTGATTCTTCTACTTCTATTCGACTTTTATCGATCTGCTTCTTCAGGGACGGTGTACGAAACGCATCCAACTGAAATAAAAAGTGAAATTATTATAAGTTTTTATTGTAATAGACACCTTTTAGTATAAATCACGGCAGAAAAGAAAATACAAAAAAAGGTATAGAATTAAATTATGAACAAGAAAAACTTACCCTTTTGTAGCACATAACGAATTAAAAATTATATACATAGGTACATATGTTGACCATGTGTAAATGTTACGTCTTTAATTTTGATTAAAAATAATTCATGATTGGAAAAAAAAATAGCTCAAATTAAAGAATTGGAGTACTTACCGATTTTCTAATCGATTTAAAACTTCTTCTATGACTACTTGTTATCGATTTTAGCAAACGAGCACAAGAATTTTTCTTAAGCATTATTACTGGTAAAAAAACGTTAATCACTAGCAGGCACAGAATTACAAAGCATAGGAAAAACTGGAGAAACATTAAAAATTACAGCGTGTAATAAGACAATGAAAATGGTCTTCGCAGTTGAAGCTGCCGAAAACTACTAATCTACTTAGGAACTCATTTACTAACGATAATACGACTTTATCATACGAATTTTGATTGGTGCTTGCGGACAATAATAATAACTCAATATGTATGCATATATTAACAACAGGAAAAGGGCAAGTCGAAGGGTAGGGCGAAGGACAATTACTGTAAACAAGTTCAAGCATGTTCATAATAAATATAAATATGTGTAAAAATTATTAAAATAAATTTCAGAAATATTGTTCCAAACGAACAAATTATAACTTATGTTTTCATTGATTTTTGTCCATTTTTAGAAACAATAAAACTTCAAAGTTTCTTTTTTCGTTATTTTGTTATGGTACCTCGAAATAATCCAGGTTGTGGTTTTCTTAATCTAAATCTTTTATATGACGTTTTACGTTCTGATGTAATTAAAAATTGAATCGCTTTAGTATTCTCAATTATTAGAGCGCGTCCAAAATACAAGTCAGAGACAACATTTTCTTTTACTTTGTACCCATGTCTACTTATTTAGGTTCGGTAATGGTACATATTCCGACCTCCAACAGTAACTGTAAACTCACGGGAAAATATGCAAGAGAGTACAACAGATGAAAAAAAAATACAAATAATTGCATGTATGCGATTAAATTGCACTTCAAGGGTTACTAACAATAAGAAATTTCTGATACCACCCATAAGTAACTATAAATTGCATCAAAAAAGTATCAAATTAAATAAATAATAAGAATATAGGGTAGTAATGCAAAATTTATTACAACTAATCAACATAAACAAGTGTTGTATATGTTGTAATTAAATGAGGGTAATTAGGAGAACAGGTATTGCAAAATGTTAAATGTGGATGATGTTTGCTCAACATGTTTATTTTGGTTTGAAAAATATTAAAATTGGAGTTTGCGTAATTATTTCGGAAAGTAATATTGCATGAAATTTAAAATTTGGTTTTTGAAACCGTCAAGAGACACGAAAAATAATAATAAAGTCATCTATTTTGAGATCCATACACTTAAACAAATTGATACTTTAGCAAGTTTATTTATGTCTCAATTGGCCATCAGCATAGGCTGCTTTAATTAGGTCACTAATGTATTACATTAGGAAATTGATACTTTCAGGTTTAATAAGTGGTCAATTGACTTGTTTTGAAGGGGTACGTATGTTCAAGTATAAAAACATTATTATACTTTAAATGTAATAAAATTACTTACCGTAAAAACCAAGTGTTGAACTAATACAGCAAGAGCTTCGGCAGTTTTGGGGGCTGACGGATGTGTGGCCCGGGACTGTAAAGGGGGCCGAACGCTGGGCGACGTACGACCCCCTTTAATTGCCGCTTTTCCACAGTCTGAAACAAAAAGAAATAAAATTAATAAAAAGTCAAATCAATTTTAAAACGAAAAAAAAAAAAAAATGCACAGAAGTTTCTATTATGTTTCTAGTATACAATTGACCTAATAGTTTTTTTTTCTCATTCGTTTCCCATACATTTTAAAATCTGCAAGTTCACCAGTTACCGACGATATTTTCATGATTTACCTACCTACGTATATGCAACCAACTATACACCCGAATTTAATGGTTATATAACCATTAGAATAAATGCATTTGCAACCAAGTATGCACCCGATAGATTTTTAAGATCGCCACTTTTTCCATCTTTTTCTTTAAATATTTAATCGTCAATTACATCCAAATTGCTTATTATGTATATGATTATTTTTCTGTTACAATTGTATCTAATTTAACCCGTAACTTACAATAAGAAACGATCTTTCAATACTTGTTTAACAATTTCAACTCTGTGTGTTTAAATAATTTATATTTCTGTTTAACCCTCTAATTAGGCATTTCCTCATAATGTTGTGGAATATAACGATCTAAAATAATATTTATCACTTAAGGGTACAATGTACCCAAGTTTCCTGATAGTTTAGTCCAGAATTAGTTCTGAAGGATGCATCTTTCCATTACTGTTATTTACAGCAAGGGCGGAACCAGCATCCCGTCATCGGGCGAGGGTAAACTATATAAAAATTACGGACAAATAAATCTAACTCTAGCACGCCTTTAAAATAGTCTCATCGTGGCTGTTGGTATATTTGTTCAAATCTATTTTCAAAATGTTAAAAATTTCCAAGACAGATGGCGGTTAATTTTAGAATTAATATGCTTTTCTGGCATAATTCAAGGATTTGATTCCAACACGTAATCTAACAGGTACAAATATTTATGGCGTTTAAACAAATTGCTTAAATACAAAGTAGATACAAACAAAAATTTCACGTTTAACAGAAATGTTATTTTTATGAAAAGTTGATTTTAAGATTTCTAATAGAACAATTTAAAATCAAGTCCATAAAATGTTCATACAGCAAGTCTTTAGATGCGGAACTAACTAACCTGCAAGTGCAATATTGTTCTTAAAAATTTTTTGTTTTCACTGACATCGTCATTAAAGATGAACAGTAAAACTGCCTCTAAATTAAACAATAAACGAGTTAAATACAAATGCGATAGTTATACATAGTAAAAAATTGTAAAATAAAGTTTGTAGACAATGTGAAAGTCTGATAATAATATTAAGCAAATTAGTCATTAAAACGTCTATGAATAAATGAATTTGAAGTGTGTTGAAAGATAAAGAAAATCTCAATTTATCTTCATTCAAAATTACACATTTGCAACGCCTATGAAATCGATTTATGTGCTCAATGTAAACTAAAATGCTAAATTGTATCTAGTTATTTTAAATATTAAATATTTCCTTCCTTTTTTTTCGTAATCTTAAAAATAGAAAAGACTAGCATACGTGTTATATAAGAATCTGTACAAATCTGATAAAACTGTGGGAAGTAGACAAGTTTGTTTTTACAGCTTTTCTCCGAATGAAATCTGACATATACACACCCATGTGGTATTATGTATCGTCTACATCTCACTTGTTAATTTTGCCATTTTACTTTAGAGATGTAATGGGTTTTTTAGTTGAACAGTTAGGTACCATAAAACTGGAATTTTTAGGCACAGTACTACGCAATATTCTATAAAAAAAAAGATAGAAATGATGTTAAACTGAATCTAGAACAGTTTATTAAATAATGACGGTAAGCTATGCTTCTGGGGAAATTATGGTTCGAAAAATACCACCCGTAGAAAGCACGGCGAATTCAGGCGCACCAGCAACGTATAATAATGTACAGGATGTGCAACAAAATGTTTATACCGCGTGATAGAAGGATCCCGTGTGAAAAGCATTCGCAAATATATAACCATCTCTAGAATAAGATTGCAGACCAAAAAAAAAACCCTGAAAGATTTTTCTTGTAAATCTAATAGAATTAAACTATTCAAAAAGAAGAATTATTAACTTGAAAAATGTGACTTATAATGAATCACTCTGGACAATAGTTATGAGTATATAATGTTTCCTGAATTCAATCTAAGCTTTGTAAATAAACGAGCGACAAAGTAAGCAAGTAAGAAAGAAGATAATTTTTGGATATTTTTACTGTCTCTTAACGTAAGTAGAATGTTTGACGTTTTCTGATTGAATAAACATAAACTATAACGTTTACATTCTTAAGTAAATTATAGACTTTAAAGTCCAATGTTGTGTAAAGTTAATAAGTGCAGAAAAAGTCACAGTTGACTTGTCAAAAGTAACTGACCGTTATTAGAGAAACTTTTTAAAAAAATTTAAATACACAAATGATGTAATAAAATTATAAAAACCATAAAATTAAAATGACCAATTGAATTAGCTTTTATGTGAATATAATAAACATCATTATTCATACGGTCTTTACCATAAAGAGACTACCCCTGCCCTCTTAACTCCTGTTTCTGCTTCTAATATGTCTTTAACTAGCCCCTCGTGACCGAGAACGTGTTCTTATGGCTTACTTTAACCTTAACGACTGAATTAAGAATGCACCATACACAAATCAGTTAATTGGGACGCAAATAAATTAACTAGAACAATATATCATACTGGCAACGAAGTATAGTGGCACTTTACATTTGAAATACCTAATAATAACAATAAAAAATGAATAAAAATTTGCAAGGCTAGTCTAGCTGTCATGCACACACACAATCGAAAGTAGTTGTAAAAAAAGAAAGTTATTCGATTAGAAAAAAATTTTTCTACTACCATATTAAACACAGTGATACTTAGTGAATGTAACAGTTGTGTAAAAAAAGTGTAAGAACAATTTCTGGTCACTGACCTGAAAAAATATATATACAGGGTGACTTCTCGTTATTTGATTTAATCCTGCATACAGTGGGTAGGTATTTACCACTTCAAAAGAAAAAAGTATCAAAAGAATCTTTTTTTTTTTAAGGAAAGCAAAAATTACAGAACCAAGTCAAACTGGCAGATTTTCACTGTTATAAAAGTCTTAGGAAAAATTTACGCGATACGCTTGGGAACCTGGCGCCCTTCACCGACAGAACGTACAGACTTTTTTTATTATTGCAACAACAGTCACCAACTTATCAAATGAAGATGCTTAACGAGGGGTCAACAGCATTGTAAAAGTTCAACTTCGTTGAACTCCAGCAATCTGCCAGGATATAACAACAACAACAAGGTACAAGTAATAAATGCACGACAGAGACGAATAACATGTAAACTGTAAACAATAGGTCGAATTATATTTCACGTTATCAAAATTACAAATAATTTAAATCAAAAATTGGAATGAGTTAATAATAAATGATCCCCTATTCGTTAATTAAAACAAATAGCATCAATTGTGATATCAAAGCATATTTGAAATCAATTCACACTGCAATTAAATGAATCTCGGTTTCGAAAAAAAGTTTTGCAATCTTTCTAATTAAACAAAACAGAAAAAGAGAACGACGTTTAATAAAAGTTAACTCAGTGCCACATGACAAACTGCAATCCTTCGCAAACGTCGACAACAACGGCAGCATCTTCAATTTGGAGACACAATGCAAAATGTCTTTGTTATTATATTTTTATTGTCAAGTCGGTGAGTGCAATGCGACAGGCGTGCTCTCGAAGTCGTGAGAATGAAAATAAAAACCGCGAAAGAAAGACTTGATCAAAACGAAAATAACACTGTCACGCACAAGATATCGTGGGAACTTTGTACTTTTTAGTACTGCGAAATATGTTTTTAGAAAAAAAAAAATAACTATTTAAGAAAGAATCATCTTGGAAATAAACATATGCGCACTTTCTCTATATAGTGCTAGTTCTTCCCCCTTATCAGTCACTATTAGCTCGAAACTGTTTATTTATTTGTTTAATCACTTTCTTTGTGTTAAAAATTGTTTGAAAAATTAAATTTAAAGGAATTGTTTGTAAATAGGTATGCAACACATCGTACACTTCAGCATAAGAAATTGCTGATACTAACCACGTAATACTACTTTGCTCTGTGCTGACAACACTTATAATTTCCTTTAATATAATATTAAACTTTCTTTTATATGTAATATTTGGAAAGCGCCTTCTACTCCTTGAAGTTTTTTTTTTCTTTCTGTATATATTTGCGTACTTAATAACAATTAAGAAGTACATAGTGTTGGCGTGGATCGCAAGTACATGTGCCATATATCAAATTAAAGATCTTGCCAGTCTACATTCATTAAAAAAGAGTGCAAGACGAACGTTTCACGACTCACGCGATTGCTACATCAAAAACTGATACCTCCACAAAGAATATTTTGAATTAAAACCCTTTAGCAAAGTTTTCTTATTGGTAGATAAGATGAAATATTTGAAAATAACGAAAACAACTGAAATTAGAAATCAGTCACAAACAGAAATGGTCACTCGGGGTTCTTGCCATGTCTGCATTGCGTAGTGATGTTGGCTGTTGGTTCGTTCATTTGATCATTTGGCGGCTTGAAACTCTTTATTGGCTAATTAGCAGTTTCAGAAATAGAGACTAATTATTCAACTTTAACTCCATCGTATACAACATTGCGCTTTCTTTCGTTATTTTGTTTCGGTCTGTGCAACACATTTCGGTGTTCGTCTAAAATGATCCCGTTCACGGTTTTTAGCACATTTACTAGTAGCGATTATTTATCTGTAAAAATCATCCACTTCAGCGAAAGCGAAAGACACCAATTTGAGAAAATTGTTTTTTTTTTGTTTTACGCAGCTTAAAAAAAGACATTATTCAAATGAATCTAAAGAATGAACTTCTAATTACACCTACTGTTCCTACGTACATATATTAATTATCTCTATCGAAACTACATAATTGGTTTAATTATTTGTTTATTTATCCATAAATTAGCAGGTTGTTGTGAAATACAACTTTCTCTGTCAGTATACGCTTCAGAAGAAATTGTGATAAA